AACCATGGATGGGGAAATGTTGGCAGTTTTCTCAAAAAAGGCTTGAATTCAAGAAGTTTTAGATTTGCGTGGTTTTTTTTTTGAGTTGCAAAATCTACTTGAACATGACGCTGCCTTTTTCGAATTTTCTCAAGAACCATTCGAGCCACAGAATTCATTTTGGCATCGTTTATAGAGAATTGAATGGGGGTTCATGAACCCCATGACCCCCCCTGGATCCGCCCTTGGCTTCATCTTGATTTGCCCATAAACTGGGGTAAAATTACCGGTGTAGCGCTCAAAACTACCGAATTTTAAGTCGCGATTGACGTTGAAGAAGTTGACAGTTTGGTAGACAATCGGGTGATTTTCCAGTTTTTATATCGTCGTCGAGAGGAAGTTGTTTTGATTCAATTCAAAGTTGCGTTCCCGCAAAAAATCCTCGAAAAATAACCAATTGTTCAACCCCAATATGATTTCACTAGTGCCCGTATGTATAGACGACTCGCAAGTGACGTTCAACAAATTGAGGGTTGTTTTCTAACCTAACCAGTTCATAGGTATCTGTCTGTCTATGACCATTTGTTGGTTATTTGCACGTGTTTTGTGCATACGAAGGGACTTGGTAGAATTTATTGAATATCTGGCTGATGAAATGAACAAATTTGTTATGAGATATCGCTTTCAGAAAGAAACTGTTATTGATGTATTAACTCTATTAGTACAAATTCGCTTCCTGGGTTTCAGTGATTTATTTACTTCGCTATTAGTTTATTTCATTCTTCAGAATACGTTCCGGTGTTTTTTCTTTCGGGCGGAAACAAAAGATAAAATGATAATGAAACATCGTATGTGTGGATGGTAAACGGTGATTTACGAGGAGTTTCTTACGCGACAGTTTCCTTAATTGTTAAAAAATTGTCAGTAGCTTTTGCAGAAAATTTAAAGCGTTACGTTAAATTTCCAAATATGTTGCGAGAGCAACGACAAACGTGTCTGTGTGATAAACACACGGACAGAAATGACAAATTAAACCTTTAACGGTCGTTTTGGAATTCGCTTTTTCCGTCAAAAATGCATTTGTACCAACACAACGATCGTAAGAAACCTATGATCCGTCACTTGGCGCCTACTTATCCAAGGCACAAGATGTCATCTACTTCATCTGTCAACAGTTACTTAAATACGGCCATAGCAATTCACCAAGCAGGCATTAGTTATGGCTACCAAATTGGGAAAAACTTTAAATTTCTAGTGCGAACTAGACTAGTCCAAACGTAAACCGACGAAATTAAGACAAAAAAGCAAAATTTACCAAAAAGTGCAGCAAAAATTGTATAAAAAATCGCTTTCCACATTAAATATTCAGTCGTTAGTCCTGCGGAGAACATTGTAAAAGCCGGCCCTGGGCTGTTTCGCTTCAAGCGCGGAGTCGGCGCAACACATTAACACTTCTTGATCGCAAAAGAAACCAATCGATCGACCAATTTGTGTAAAGGCATTTCGCGTGAAGTTGTAGCAAATTTTGCATCGGCAAAACAGTTTTCAGCTGCCAACAATCGCTTGAATTAGAATGGCATCGAAAAAAGAGAAACGACAGCAGGTAAATGGGATCAGTGGGTCAACTGGCATCAGGAACCCCGATTGATGTCATTTTTTCTCATTGTTGTAGAGGGCTCAGGAGCGGAAGCAAACGCCTGTAAAGACAAGTGGATTCGGCAGGAAATTGCTGTCCAGCTTGCTGATCGTTGCCTTGATCGCCATTCTAGCCGAGCCCTTCTACAGGCTGAGCAAGCCCCAGGACGAACTCTGTCTGTTCCAGATCGGTCGCAAGTTGGCCGATGGAGTCTTGTGGATCGACTCCAGACTGGACCAGATCATTCCTAAGGTCTACTATGGAAAGGCCAAAGAAGTGCTGAGTCCTTACGGCGCTCTGGCTTGCGATACCCTAAAGGTTTCAAGCAACGTGCTGCAAAGCAGCAGGAATGCGCTTGCCGACTTCGTTGATACGAAATATCCTCTGCTGGTGGCTTCGGTGAGTTAGCGTGTTGTGAAATTTAACCAGCAGTTACCACAGTGAGGATTTAGGCAATGAAAGCTTGCGCCAATGCAAGTTTTTTTGGTCCTTGTCAAGGCTGAAGAATGTTAATCCTGCATTTTGCGTTTCCAGATTGAAAGTTACGCACCAGGACTGATCGACAACACGCAAGTGATTTTCACCGATGCCTTTGCCAAAACCATCAACTACTACCACATTTCCAAAAACTACTTGCAAAACGAAGTCTTTGTGTAAGTATCTAGTCGCACCTGCAGTTTTTCCAAACAAAATGTGTGCTGATGCCATTGGCTGAACATCGATCAATCGTTTGTTTTTGTCGCCACTTTCATTCTTTATCTTGTTTGTTCACTGTAAGCAAAAAGCAGGCCTTAGCAACATTAGAGTGTTGCGATAACTATTGCCTTTGATTTACTGTAATTAATTGTATATTTACTCTAATCTCTATAGAAGTTTGATTATCAGCGACGGCAAACGTTTTGTGATTGTGATGGGCAAACTTGAACTTGCTTCCCCAATTTAATCTTTACGTGGCATTCTCGGTTTTTAAATCAATTAAAAAACTGAAAAATTTGTGATTTTCAGTGGCCAATTGTCGCCTGAAAACATTCAACGCGTTGTGGTGGGGGCCTACAACACCACATCGGAAAAGGCGATCGAGTACTACCATTGGGTGTACCAAAAAGTCCAAACGAGCATCAAATAACTGCAACCCGCGTCTTAGGCACTTATTTTCCAATTTCTCCCTTATTCCAGTTATATTCCTAATTTGGCGACAAACTCGTAAAATATAATTTGTGAACGTGTAGGTATAATTCCATTGTGTATGTGTGCGCGATTTTTTTTATACAACCAGTTTTATTGTCGAACATTTTAATTTATTTAAGTTCGCATATTGTTAAGAGAATATGTTGTTGAATAAACTTTTTTATAAAATCCGGGATTTCAAGAGAAGAACAATTCGTTGGTGGTTTGAAATATGCGCTCGCAGATTTTATCGGCGGACTCGCTCTTCACGCCGGCAATCACATCTAAAACCTGCCTGGAATGGCGATACATTCAGTACCATTTAATAACCCGCACGTGCTGCATCTACCTGATATTAACCGGCTCATTCCTGCCCTTCACCAAGCAGCCCTCCTTGAATTTCTCCTTCTTCACCGCAGGAATTGACTTGTTTTCTTCCTGCAAAAACCGATAGCCGGCATGCGTGGGTCTGATTTCACACCATGGACTGTCTGTTTCCATCAGCAACTTTTCAATGGGCAGTTGCTTAACTGTTTCCAAGTTCGCGGGCGTTTTCAAAGAGCTGCAATTCAACAGAGCTACTTTTTAATTGTCACATCATATTCCGTTTGCTAGACAGAAAAGTGACGTTTTGTATGCGTTCTGACGTCGTTTAGTGAGACAAGTGACAAGACTTGTCTCTGACACGATGACATTCAACGTGACGTACGCAACCACGTCTTTTTCACACCATAGAGTAAGTAAAAAATACTTATTTTACTTTCTCTATGTTTCACACTCGATTCTGCATGCGTACTCACCATCCATTCACCCCGATAAAGTACCCCAAGTCGATAAACTTGCGCGCTTCTTCAACAGTCCCATCAAACGAATGCACCACCCCTTTAAAGCTGTAGGGGGCCAAAAGGTTTTGTAAATCGGCGGCAGCGTTGCGACAGTGCAAAAACAGCGGCAAATCCAGCGATTCGTTCAGCGGCAAATCCAGCGATTCGTTCAGCGTCAATTGAAGCTGCAAGTATCTGGAAAGAACGGATTATGAGCCTTATTTTCGTGCGCTTTTAGTGTGCCGTCACTTTTTTTGGGTTTCTTTGGGGCAAAACTGCAGCCGATCATAGTCCAGGCCGCACTCTCCAAAAGCGACCACTTTGTCCCGGTTGGCGTTCACGAGGCTCCCTAAATTGGCGAGATATTCTTCGGGGGAGCATCCGGAGTTTTCGAACTCCAAGCATCTGGTGGGGTGACAGCCCACGGTAGCGTAAAGTTTATCTATAAAAAATGGCATTCAGAATCTCTTTCAAATCAGTCAAGAATTTACTTAAAAAGATTACGAATAGTCCCAAAAAACCAGGGCAGCTACGGTAGCATGAGCGCCATCTGACCATGTATCTAATAACGACCATAGAGTAAGTAAAATAATTAATTATTTTACTTTCTCTATGATAACGACTCTGTTATCCACCAAACTTTATGAGCCTTTGGAACCGATGTTGCTGGTTGGAGTTAAAATTCCCCACAATCCTCCAGAACTTTCTCCTGGTTGGGAACTAGCCCTAAAATTTCCCATTCCCCTTTTTGTCCAGTCCTCATTCCCAGCTTGCAGCTAAAACGAACGAACTAAACCTGAAAACTTACCATCAGTCCTGGCTAAGTCAATGGCCCGCTGGCTTTCCTCAAGACTCCCTCCTGTGATAATCATCTTGCTCAATCCGCCCTCCCAACTACGCTTCAACACGCCACCAATATCCGCATCGTGTTTTTTCGACCCATTGTACATCCCCTGATACATCCCATCGGTCAGATTGGCCCCAATATCTGAAATAAACCATTTCAATGTGTTTGTTTCCACTCAACCCCAAAATCACCTATGAAGCGCCGCATGTTTCCAACAAACTTCGATGTTTGAGGTTATCATCGAGACCATGCCATAAATGTTCCGTAAAAGAATTGTGCTTGTAGTCGCCTTGCTTGTACTGTTGGTGTTCTTCTGCACGTTGCAACATCTGCAAGGCTACCTGCCAGCTATTGAAAGGTTGCCAAAGACCAACCAGGACGTTGAAGAGGCGATTTACGAAGAACTGAGCCGCCTGCCTGAGAGCTACAGCAGGGACGCCTTGCAACTGAACAGCGCTGAGCGGTTTCTGAGCAACATCAAGCGCACGGGCCGTTGGGGGCTCGAGAGCGTGCCGCTTCAGCAGCTGTGGGCAGAGGCCAACTCCTGGCCCTCGGACAGTCAACTGACAAACCTTTCCAGTGCTTTAATGGGTCGCATTTTATACTCCCTTGGGCATGCCAGGATCACCAAGGCTGATCTGGATACTCGGGGCACGCAGCTGAAGATTCTACTCACTTTAATGGTAAGTGGCATTTTCAATGGTTATAGTGAAGGTAAGACTTAATTCAGCAAAGAAATTCGCGCTTACCTTAAGGATCTTTTCAAACCCGATGACTGCTGTTCATATAGGGAGAGCAAGAGTGCGTCTTCAAGCCAAAATGGTATCCGATAGAGAAGAGCATAGAGGGGCCAGTCTACGCGGGCAAAGACCGGTACGGCTCAGAAATTGTGGGTTTCTACCTCTCCGTTCTGCTCGATAAACCGTTCGTTCCTGCTAGCGTGGAGCGAACTATTTCCCTAAAATACGACGTTCTCCCGGTGGCAACCAATAGGCTGCTGAACGTCAGCTTGGAGAAGGAGAATCGAAGTTGTGTGTTCGGCCAGTGCTTCTACTGTAGCAAGGAGGATCCCATTTGCGACAATGAGGGAAACCTGCTGACTGGCGCGGTGATTTTTAATGTCCGGAAGAGCTTTAGCAGCTACAGATCTCCGTGGCAGCGCACGTACAAGAAGAGAAAAAAAGCTGCATGGGAGGACAGCGTTGATTACTGCAGGTGGCTTTCTGCGAGTACCAGTGAAAAGTGACAGTATAACCGTTTCTGCCCTTTAGCGCTGTAAAGACCAGGCTGCACAAGAAGCGACTGCTCGATCTTATCGATGTGGCAATTTTCGATTTTCTCCTGCAAAACGGCGATCGGCACCACTATGAGACTCTGGACGACAGTATCGTCTGGCTGGACAATGGCAAAGGGCTGGGCAACCCCTATGTTCAACATTTGGATATTCTGGCGCCCCTCTACCAGTGCTGCCTGTAAGTGTAGTTTCTTCACAAAGTCACTAACCAGGCCTCAAGTCTGGCTTGTTTGCAGGATTAGGAAGAAAATGTGGCAAGCGCTTCTGAGCCTGGCAGGCGGCGCGTTATCCAAATACATGAAGCTCATGCCAGATATCCAAAACGTGCTAACTGAGCCCCATTTGCGGGCCATGGAACAAAGACTGAGGCTGGTGTTTGCTACGGTGGAGTTTTGTAAAGGACGACATGACATGTAATTAAATTCATCGAAAAAAATGTTGAAAAAATCAAAAACCCTCTTATGCATACCTTCTCCTAGAACAGCTAAACTTCTACAATGCAAGGTTTTTCATGGATATTTGACTAAATAAAGCTTTTTCAGGAGAATCTTTGATAGGTTCTGTCATAAAAGCGGACATTTTGAATTCGCCCTACACAAGCCGCTGATTGGTTCACTCACTGGGCTTGCCGGCAAAACTAACCCCTCACCAACACACCAAGGTAAGAAATAAATCACAGTCCAGTTTATAACCTAAACAATGTATTAAACAAGGTGTGCTCAGGCGAAGATCCTTTGCAGTGCTTTTTCAGCCTGTTGAGGGGCAATGAACTTGAGCTTTAAAATGTCCTCACAGACTAAAATGATTAGATATCGAGGCCCAGGTGAATAGCAACCTTAACAGGATGATAAAGGGCAGCCAAATCAAATATAATTGTATTAACATAAACCGACAAAGTGGGCAATAGCCCGACTAATCATCCATGGGATGGCTTAGCAGGGCGATTTTCCAAAAACACACCGGCCCTTGCGCAGGGCCAGTATCAAGACAGTCTTAACAGGGGGAAGGCTTGGACATCAAGGAAAGCTCAGCCTTGTTGGGGACCAAAAGCCAAGTGCACCAACTCCTTCTTGTTCACCTTGCCCATGGCGTTTTTGGGAATCGAGTCTACAAACCTGCAAAATAACGAAGAACCGTTTTAATCTAGTCTACACCAGCCAACAGTCATGTTCGAGTCACATACCTCCACTCTTTGGGTACGGCGTACTTCGGCAGTTTCAGCTCGGCATACTGAATGAGTTTCTCCACTTTAACGGGGCTGTCGCCTTCAGGGCCGACTGAAACAACGGCAACGACCCGTTGCCCCCATTCCTTGTCGCTTACCCCAATAACTGCGCAGTCTTTGATCAAAGGACTACCCAGGATGACTGACTCGATTTCCAAGGCGCTGATCTTGTAGCCGCCGCTTTTTATGATATCCTGCGACTTCCTACAGTTTCTTTTGAGTTTCATTGCGCCCACTAGGAACATTCACTCACCTGCCGAGCATTTTGAACTTCTTCTTCTCCACCGAATACTGACAAAGATCGCCAGTTCTGAACCAGCCGTCTTCTGTGAACTCGCGTTTGGTGGTCTCGGGGCGTTCGTGGTAGCGCATAAAAATGCCAGGCCCTTTCACTGAAAATTTTCATTATCGACCAACTCCGCCACGTAGTATAAGTATAAGCCACGATCTTACCCAAAAGCTCCCCAACTGGATCGGCACCTTCAAGATTGGTTTGGCCATTTTTCTGATAAACCAGGGTGCCTTCGACGTTTGAACATTCCACCAGGGTCCTAAAACACCAGATGCACAAACCAAACCTTCGGGAGTGACCAGCACCTACTTGCCTATGGCATCTTGCTCCTCCCCGTCTAGGACTTCGCACAGCTTGGCTGAAACCCCTGGCAGGGGCGTTCCTACATATCCGGCCTCCCTACCGGACTCGTAGGAGTTGGACAGGATCATACCAGTCTCGGTCATGCCGTACCTGAAAAAGCAAACTCAGCACCGAACATTAGGCGGGCGACAACACTTACCTTTCCAGCAGTTTCAGTCCGCTGATCTCTTCCCAATGCTGGAAGAGGGGCTCTGGCAATGGAGCCGAACCGCTTACCATCAGTCTTATCTAAAACCCACCGAAATGTGGAATGAGGCTTTGCGCAGATGAGGCGCAAACACAAACTACCTTGCTCTTCAGCGTGTTTCTGATATACTCGGCCATTTTCGGGTCCTGCTTGAAAACGCGCTCATACTCCTCGACCAGCTTGGAATACATAGTCGGCACGCCCATAAACAGGGTGATGCGCCGATCATCAGGGCGAGCATTGACGCCCAGCAGGTACGACCTAAAGCCCAAAGCCCCAGTTACCATTTGATGACCGCAAGCGGTTTTATTCCTACCAAACGGTGTTCGCATTGAACTTCTTCAGCATAATAGTCTTGGCGCCCGCATATAATGGACAAAGCAACGCGTTAACGATGCCGTGAACATGGTGCAAAGGAAGAGTGTGCAGCAACACGTCGTCAGACGACCATTTCCAGGCGTCTAGAAGGGCGGAGGCCTGCGCGGACAGGTTGTTGTAGGACAGGACAACTCCTGCAAAGACATTCAGTTGCTTCAAAAACACCTACTTTGGGGGCGAAAATGGTTACCCTTGGGGTTCGCAGTGGTTCCACTAGTGTAAATGATCATGGCGTCGGATTTGTTGTAGAAGACGTCGTCTTTTCCGCCCTCCAAATCTCCAGCTCGGCTAGCCTGGAATTAACCAATCATATAAGGCACTGAAGTAGATTGAATGGGGATTCAAGGCTCACCTGCATTAGAGTGCAGTTCAGTTTGAGGCGATCATCCAAAACATGCAGCTTGGTGGAGGAGTTTCGGGCCACTTGCTGCATGAGATCGGCGAATTTTGGCACTGTGATGAATAAGTTCGAGCCGGAATCGTTCGCATAGTACTGCAAAAGGCTTTTGGGGTGCAAAGGACTCACTGGCACAGCTATAAAAAAAACAATTTAGCAGTTCTGAGAGAGAAGTTTTGAATTTTAGAAAGTAAATTTGGCCATTATGAAACAACAACAAGGATCAGAACCTTGACCGCTTGACTAGGATATTTTTAGAACCTGTTTATACAATGCGGTCCTACGGCGATAATCGCATGTGATTGCATATAGATGACCAAGTCACATTCTCCTGGTATTTATAGATACAAATGACGCTGCCATGCAAAAGGGAAAGTGGATCTTGCCTGTTATACGTCGACTTTAATCGGAAATCGGCTGATAAAGCTGCCCGACTAAAAATAGCCCAGCTGATAACGGCGAGGGAAGACAGAAAGCCAGTAGATTACTTACCTATTTGCCCAGCCATCCAAACAGCCCACAAAGTGATAACATAGTGAACGTCGTTGGGGCACAAAAACAGCACCCGCTCGTTGGTTTTTCCGTCCAAAATCGCGCTGATTTCCCTGGAGAGTTCATGGGCGCTCATGAAAATATTCGCATAGGTGTAAGCTGCAATTAAACACGGCTTTAAGTTCGGCAGTATGGAGCAGCCAGGCTCATTAAGCTGCTGCTGGCCTTACTTTAAGGCCATCGCCAAGGAAAAGCTTGGAAACTGTCTACTTTCACTTGAGGTGATTTGTTCGAAAATAGCTCAAGTTTAGGCTGGAAATTGAGCAGGATAACTTGAAGGTTCTTACCAGCAATCCGGTCCCTGATGGCGATTTTATCGGGAAACAAGCGGGCGTTTCGGAAAACGGGCCCCCCAGCCAAATGGCCGAGAGGCTCGTGGGGCTCGCGTACTTTGTCCCTAGAGGCCACTCTGGCTTGGGTTTGCTGGAACCTGCGACTCAGGTGACTGAAGAAGCTGGGCCTGCGGAAAAGCTGCGACATTTCGACACTCACTGGGGATCAATCGGGTGCAAAGCAGGGCTGCGCTGTTTTGTCGCACTCTAACGCACCGCTCCCCACACGTTTAAATACAGTTGCAATTCGCGTCACAATTGTAGGCGCCAGGCGGCTACGTAGTAAACAACCGCTGCGTAAAAAACTGAGAATTTTAACGTGCAAAGTGGCTCGAGACTGATGTGACGAAAATTGTCAAGGACTTGCCAACGGAATGCCAAAAATAGGTAGGGAAAGTAGGGTTACCTGCACGAATCTTCCAGCACTTTAACAAGTTTACTGAAGCCCTAGGCCTTGTTAGTATGAACAGATGTGCCGAAGCGGTGCTCTATTGAAGCTGGGTAAATAATGAGGTATCTTTTCTTTTCAGTAAACGTGTTGTTTTTTTAAATCCGGAAACTTTGACATGAGGCTTTGGACGTGTAGTTTCCGGGAAACACGCCCATTTTTTTTCAACTAGACAATTAATTTATCGCAAGTTTTTCCACTATTTTATGGAAAGTCCGGTAGTTTTTCTTGTCTCGATTTTAAATTCCCCATCTATGTGTTGAGCCAATAATAAGCAATTTTTGTTATTTGCGGGATTTGCAAAAAAGGCATACTTTACGACTTATCAGGCTTAAAACAAATCACTTAGATCTGGCTTTGGAACGTAAAATTAAACCAATACAACAAAAAAACATTTTATCCTAAAATAGTTTATATGTCCAGTAAGCTTTTATTTACAGTTGGGAACAGGCAATGGGGGAACTTAGGAAGTTTGTCTTAAAAAGGACACTGTCTTGGTGTTTGCAATTGTTCTTCATTCGAAAAGCTGCGTAAAACCGGAACAAATTTAACACAAATGGGAAGATAATCGATTTACTACAAACTGGTAGGCAGCGCTTCTACGATTTTTCCGACGCCCGGTCCGCCATGATTGCTTTTATGTCTTCCGCGTCCAAAGTCTCGTATTTCATCAGCGCCTCTGCAACCGCTTTATGCTCTTTGGCGTGTGCTTTTAGAATGTGCTTCGCGCGCTCGTAGCTCTCCATCAAAATCCGTTTAATTTCGTTGTCAATCTAACACATAGCCAATAAGAGCTAAACGCCTTAAGAAACAGCTTTTGCTTACCACTTCGTTGGTATTGGGCCCCAGCTCATGACGACTGTCATCAGGCATGGTGCGCAGCCCCAACTTCTCCGACATACCCCAGTCTTTTACCATATGAACAGCAATTGATGTGGCATGCTCCAGATCAGAACTGGCTCCTAAAAATTCAAGAGTTTGCCAATAGTAATAGCGCTTGCTTAAGTTCAATTTTCAACGTTTGAGACTGACCAGAAGTGATTTTCTCAGGACCGAAAATCAATTCCTCAGCGGCCCGACCGCCCATCATTGTATCCATCATTGCTAGAAGTTGGGATTTTGTTACATGATAGCGCTCTTTTTCGGGAATGTATGCGGTGTGTCCCAAGCTGGGCCCCCGTGGGATTATCGTGACCTGTATAAAAACAGTACTTGAGCAAACTATTCTAGTGTACTTTTTTCAAGCCATGGTTTACTTTGTGTAAAGGGTGACTCTCCTTAGTGTAATAAGCAACAATGGCATGTCCGCCCTCATGGTAAGCTGTGATGAGATTGTCATCCTCATCGGGAATTCGAGACTTCCTCTCCGGCCCCATCAGGACTTTATCGCGCGCCGATTCCAGATATTTCATGCTCACGCAATCGGCCTCGTCTATCGCGGCTCTAAAAATTCACTCCGATTATTATTGTCTAAAACTGCCCCAAACTGTGCCTACCTTAACGCAGCCTGATTCACCATGCTCTCCAAGTCCGCGCCAGTGAATCCTGTCGTGCCCCGAGCCAACAGCTCCAGATCCACTTCTTTGGCCAGCACCTTGCCTAAGTACAGCCCCAAAATCTCCTTTCTCCCGGTATAATCCGGCCTCGGCACGGTCACCTAGTTTAGATCAGTTGATAACACCTATATTGGGAGGGGTTTTCGCCTCCAACTCACTTCCACATCAAACCTGCCAGGCCTCAAAAGCGCTTGATCCAGATCCTCTTTGCGATTGGTCGCACCGAGAACTATCACGCCCTCATTTTGATGGAATCCATCCATTTCGGTTAGCAATTGGTTGATTGTTTGGTTGGCGTATGGGTGGAGGACACTGTTAGTTCTCTTCGAGCCAATCGAGTCGATTTCGTCGATAAAAACCACGCAAGGGGCGCGTTCCTTCGCCGCCTCTGATTTAACAAAGGGACTTGTACAGTGCTCGGTTCATTTAAGCAGGTGGGACTTACTGAACAGGTCTCTGACGCGTCTCGCTCCCTGTCCTACCAAGACTTCGTCAAATTCCGGCCCAGCGGCATGGAAAAAGGGCACCCCTGCCTCCCCAGCCACTGCCCTGGCTAGTAAGGTCTTTCCGGTGCCTGCATGGTAGAAGGTGAAGAATGAAGGTGGTATGGGGAGTTTTCAGTTTTACCTGGCGGCCCTACTAACAGCACCCCTTTGGGCAGCTTGCCCCCCAAGTTAGAGAACTTGTCTGGATTCCTCAAGAACTCCACAACGTCTTTTAGCTCCTGCTTCGCCTCGTCCACTCCCTTCACATCGTCGAAGGTCACATGGATTTCTTCCGGGTCCACTTCCACTTGGTTGCCCAATTGGATTCTAAACCAGATTTAGGTACTTTGGGCTCTCACTAACAATGTCCAGGAGGAGTTCCTCACCTGAATACTGAGCCACTTGCGCTAGCCATTAAGCTGACCACGATCGCGAAAAAAATTGCTATAGTCAACACCTGCTGGACCATTCGGAAGTACTTGGAGGCTTTCGCCGTCTTGCCCCCGCCAGTGTTGCCCACCAGATATCCCTCAGCAAAGGCAATTTTAATCCTCTGTTTCTCGTGCTCGGTCAAGTTGGACTCTTCAGAGCTGAGGATTTTCTTCAATTGCTCCCCATCGGTTGCGCTCACATTACCCAAGGGCACTTTGCCCCCCAACTCACTGCTGGACCCGCCTGCCAAGTTGTTCTTCAATCTACTCATAATAGTCGGGTTACGTTCCAACTCAGCCTGAATGCTCCGGTCAGTCTTAAACCCCCTGGTTTGGATGTTAAAAGTGAATCTATTTTCGGTGAGCAGTCCTTGCACGAGCTTCTGGTAGAATCCTTGCGGCACTTGGACATTCTTGGCTGAGCTGCGCAGCACTAGTGTGGGTAAATGGCTAGTTAGCTCCCCCTTTGCAAACCCATGCTTGTTTTCGAAAAACGTCTCATTCGACACAAAGGACACATGAAAGTTATTTAGGAAGGGTCGGTTAAACAGGGAGGACAAGTTAAGGTGCTTGGCAAAGGCAAAGTCGCACTTGTGCAATGTTTCGGTAAAACTGTCAGTGCACAGACTCTGCTCGGCTGGCTTGGATTTCAGGTGGGGCTTTTTTCGGAAAAATGAGCCCGGCGTAGTGGTGACTTTGGCACTGATCTGGGTCAGAGTCGCGAAGGCCTGAAAGGGGCTCTAAACATCACAGGACCCTCAGCACTCCTTAAGCACTTACCTGGTTCTGGTTTTGTAAAGAAAACATTATTGGTTACATAAAGAGAGTTTGCCTACCACTCTGCGCGGATGAAAGAGGCACAAACTGCAAATTTTTTATGGGAAATTGATGATTTTTTTTTTATAACTTTCCTGACAGTGACAATAGTTGGGTGACAGTAAACATAGACAAAGACAGTAAACGGGAGCATTGACACTACTGACATCAGACAGAAAATCCACGTTGTCGGTTTCAACGATTGCAATGTTTAACTTGCGCGATATATGAGTTATCAAAAGCCCTAAGCTATCCGGGGATATTTTGGAGCTTTTCACATCAAATCCCCCAAATTATCTAGATTTAACTTTGGGCTTTTTGAGCAAATTTCTCAAAAATCGTCCAACAACCGGCATCGCGGCAGAAACGCCGCAAGTCATGCAACCAAAGCGACAAGAAATCCCTATTGATGTTTGGCACCCAATTGGCCGCCATGTTTCTTTGAGACAACGCTACACGCTCAGTGTTTGATTTCTTAAAAATTAACTCGTTTACCTGCGTTTACTACTTTGTGAAGTGAATACTAAACAATTGCTTAATCCCATAGCTTCGGTAAGACTCGCAAGCATGTCAGACGTGGAAGATAACAGTGGCCCCAGTGAGTAGCCCTTATTAAGATTCTTGTTGAAGTAGCCCCATATTCTACTTGTTTCAGTTCGCAAAACCCGCTCTGGCCGAGCAGTGAAGACGCCGGCCAAGCCCAAGTCTCCGTCGAAACCAGCCAGCCGCAAGCTTCGGAAGAAGCTCGTCGTCATGGAAGTCGAGGTGTCTGAAGATGAAGAACTGGAGCAAATTGAGCCCGCAGAGAAGAAGGCAAGGTGCTCTTCACTCTTTTGAAAAGTTGCTAAAGCCGTTTGTATCCTTTTGCAGACCAGAGTTCGCAAGATATCCCAGGCTACGCGTACTTCAGAGGAAGATGCCGCTGAGACCGAAATGATCAAGAGGGACGAGAACATCGCTCAGATCAACCCGGAAAGCCCTCAATTGGTACGGCTTAATAATCGAGAGGCTTGATAGAATTTAATGAGGTTCTATGCAGGTGATCAACGACTTGGCTTTGTTGGGAGAGCCTGCTGATCCTCCAGAGGAGGAAGAGAAAGCCCCTCAGTCACCAGTGAGGAACCAGGACACAGCGGAACCTCAGCCGGATCTGAAGACTCTTGAACCAGCCGCTGAAAGCCCAGTGAGGCAGCAGAAGACTCCACCTCCACCCTCAATGGGGGATCAGACTTCTCTTCCAATTGGAGGCGACGAAACAGCAACAGGCGATGAAAATGGAGTAGAGCTACATCAAGACGAAACTGCGGGAGAGCCAAGCGGCCAGGAAGCCCAACCTGTGCAGGAGGAAGATGTGGTGCAGGTGGAAAAAGTCCGAAATGACTCGGATACGTCCGAACTGGACACCTTGTTAGAAGACGAGCAGGACGAGAAAATGGATATCGATGAAGAACCAAAGGAGGCAGTAGTGAGACAAGTATGAAAGCCATCTGGCTAATTTAAGACACTACTATTGAAGCCGGTTGTTATTTAGAACGGCGATCCAGAAGCTGAAAACATATCAGACGAAGAATTACCAGGTGTTCCAGTGGTGAAAGTGCCCGAGACTGAAGAAGTGTCAGATGAGGAGTTGCCAGGGCCCAAAAGAGCCGAGTTGCCAGCCGACACTGAGGTAAAACGCGCAAAAAACTCACCTAAATCAAACTAAAATTGAGTTTAGGTGGTGTCTGAAGACGAGCTGCCTGCTACCAAAAAAGACCAAGAAGAAGAGGAGCTGGCTTCGCCACCGAAAAAAGACGCCAAGAGAAAGCTGTCGGAGACTGGCTATGATCCCACCTCGCCCACTTCCGAGAACGAGGCACCGCCCAAGAAGTTAAAGGAGGAAAAAGACGACAAGGATAAGGAGGGTTAGTTGAGAAAAATGGGGAATATTCTGGTTTATAATGGCATTCATTCAGGTGCAGACGCCAAGCCAGCCAAGCCGAAAAAGCTGCCCGAACTGGACAAGTACTGGAAAGCAGTCAATGACGACCCCACTGACTTTACAGGTTGGACCTGCTTGCTGCAATACGTTGATCAGGAAGTGAGTTGTCATCTTCTTTATTGGGTTTTCGTGTCGTTTAAAGCCGCATTTACTTCTCAGAGCGATATGGAGGCAGCTCGTGAAGCCTATGACGCGTTCCTGTCGCACTACCCCTACTGCTACGGCTACTGGCGAAAGTATGCTGACTACGAAAAACGCAAAGGAAACAAAAAGAAGTGCGAAGAGGTAAGTGGAGCGTTCTCAATCAATTGAAATAGCAGTTTATTTTAGTCACTAATCACTTTAAAGGCCTCGAGCGATGGTTCGGGGGGCCGCTGGGGCTTCCCCAGCGTTGCTTAATCTCGAGCAGGAGGTGAATTTTTTCGATTTTCTTAGAAAGTTTCGTGCTTGAAATGGCGCATTCTCCCCCCAGTGGCCATGATAGTGAACAGTGTAGTTTTAGTTGAAGCTATTAGCAGTGATATTTCTAGGCCAAGACACTCGGTGCGTTTGTATTGTGATTTACCTTGACTTATACTGTGTTTTGTAACGTTACATTGAGATGTAAGGCACTGAATCAGGGGGGAATGTGGCATTTTCAGCGCCAAAGTGCGTATTAGCTGCCACGCTGGGCGCCCCTGCGGCAGCCCGACAACGCACGAGCGCCCCTTTCACCGTTTCTTCGTTAAACTGATTGTTTTTGGTACCCACAGCTCTCTCCGGGCCACCCGGCTACCAACAGTCTTATAATAGTGCTGTCAAATATTATACTTTGTATTAATCACATTGTGTTTACACTATCAACTGCTGTTAGACTAAATGCAAATATTGTAAATTAATTAATTAATTAAGTCCGGTCGTTTGGGGCTAAGTGGACTCGGCAGGAGAGCCATGCAGGCGCAGATCAGTGGAAAGCGGCTAATGGGACTGGCCAAGTGTGTTTGTGGTAGCGTTGTCTCGTGTCTAGACTCGCTACCGAGTCGACCAAAATGTAAGGCTTTCTTCAGCTAAGGCAAATATTTACATGTATTAGATATGATCTACTTAAGTTTAGGTTCACATACAGCTGTACGATATTGTAATCATGTTTAAACCTGCTTCCTTTCAGGATTGAGGCTCAGACTATGCGACGCGGGCGGCCCGAATCTGATTGTTTGTGTTGCTTGATGGGGCTTTAGGCGGTTGGTGTCACATGCTTATCAAATCACCTGCCAACGGTTGAAATCTCCCCCTTTTGCTTATTGTAGGATTAATTTTTCTGTACTTTGATTCTGATTTTTTTATGTCGGTTCCTTTACAGGCAGGGCTGAAAGTTTGTGCCTCCGGCAAGTCAACGTCCAAGTCACAAAGCCTTAAGGCGCAAGCTTTCAGCCATCCCCCATATCTAAGCGGAGTCGACCCAGTTGTGCACCCCAGAGCAGCTTTAGATAGGATCATCCAGCTTCAAATGAACAACGCCCAGACCCAAGTGAAACATACAACTAAGAAAATGTTCATGTGCTTTAACTAGTTGTAAGGCCGCCCTTTCGGACCCCGGCGCCTTCTGAAAGGGCGGCCACTTGCCCTTATTTGGATTGTAATCGGAGGTTGCAACCGTTGGCCCCCGCGCTTGTTCGAAACTTGCCTAAAGTACAAAATTTCAGTAAATTTGAGCAGTTTAAGAGGCCGCCGGTGCTTCGCGTGGTTTGTTGCCCTGCTGGAACAACCCCGACTAATTCGCCTCTTTTGGGGCTTTTGTTATATCAGGTGTTTGAGCGAGGGCTGAAAGCGATTCCCCTATCGGTTGACCTATGGATTCACTACATCGCCTATGTAAAAGCCACCAAGGGCGAGGACGAAGAATACGTCAGGTAGGATTTTTCAGTTTTTTGAGGGGTTGATTGATGACGGTTGATTAATTGGTTTTAGGTCGCAGTTTGAGCGGGCGTTGGCGGCCTGCGGGTTGGAGTTTCGCTCCGATCGGCTTTGGGACTCTTACATCAAGTGGGAGACTGATGGGAAGAGGCTGAATAAAGTTACGGGAATTTTCGATAGGCTCTTAGTTACCCCCACCCAAGGATACACCACCCATTTCGACAATTTTCAAGAGCACGTTTCGGCTAATAATCCCAGCAAGATTCTGGACATGGACGAGTTTATGGCACTGCGAAAGGAGGTGCGCGCTTTGCTCAAAAGCGAAGAAAAGGCCGCTGATAACGCTGATTTGCCGCCCGGCGATGAAGATTCCAAACTTTATACGTAAGTGATAGATTTTCTTATTGTCACACAAAGCAACCGAAGTGTGGTGCTTTCGAAACAATGAGATTCTGAATGTGCGCCTTGGGAGTAGTTTATCCACTTTTATCCGTGCATGATGGAATAAAATGGTCAATTATTGTGTGGATTTCAGGACAGAGGAGGAGACCAAATGCATCAAGGAGAGGATCGTGTCTATTCGGAGAAAAATCCACAAAAATACCGTCAATGCAGTGACGGCCCGATGGAACTTCGAAGAAGGGGTAAGCAGCTGGAGTTGGTCGCACCCAGCAATCATTCTATAAAGTAAACGAAAATGATGATAAAGTCCGAAAATTGCGCTCCAGTCTAGTGTAGACGAGCGCAATTCTTAATCATGTTGAAGAAGCTTCGCAGAGGCCATCTGATCTCGAATTAGAGCCGATAAGCGCTTAAGCCTTGGAATGGTGGTAGGTAGTTAAAGCGATTTTCTGTTATTCATTTCAGATCAAGCGCCCGTATTTCCACGTAAAACCACTGGAGCGATGCCAGCTGAAGAACTGGCAAGATTACCTCGACTTTGAAATAGAACAAGGCGATCGCACAAGGATTATTGTTCTATTCGAGCGCTGTCTCATTGCGTGCGCTTTATACGAGGAGTTTTGGGCCAAGGTAAGCAGTGAAGCTCCAAGAATTTTAGGCATATTGAGTGACTAATGTTAATTAGTGTTTGTTTATCTTTGCTGGAAAGAATCAATTAACAGCAATATTTGGAAAAGCCATCTGTAAAAACTTGACTATAAACTACAATCTGATGTAAAGCCCGTGTCCCATTCATCCGTTTGTACGATGGTACGAAAGTGTTTGTATTGGTTGGAGATCTGTCAATTTGTCCGTCGTCGTACGAATTGACAGATCTCCAACCAATAGAAACACTTTCGTACCACCGTATCATCGTACAAACGGATGCATGGAACACGGGCTTAGTCTTTGGTTAAAGGAGCCGCCCATTGTATTTTAAATGTTTGTCCTCAGTTCGTGCACTACCTGGAAGGAATCAAGGATAAAGAATTGCAGCCAAAAATCCGCGACGTTTATGAAAGAGCGTGCACAATCCATCATTTGAAGAAACCCAACTTGCATTTGCAATGGGCGATTTTCGAAGAAACAGTCGGCAACATCAACCGAGCCGCTGAAATCCTGGTCAATCTGGAAAAGCAAGTACCGAATGTGCTACAGGTGGCCTACAGGCGCATCAACCTGGAACGTAGACGCCAGGATTTCGAGAAATGCGGCCAACTGTTCGAGCACTACATCACCAATTCCAAGAACAAAATGATCTCGAGCAACATTGCCATCAAGTACTCCCGGTTTTGCCTCAGGATATTGAAGGACTTTGAAAAGGCGCAGGAGATTCTGAAACTTGCCATTAGCAAGGACGCGAACAATCCGCGCCTGTACTTGCAGCTGGTCGATCTTACGCTGCAGAAGGAGAACATTAAGGAGGAGGAGGTGTGTGAGGTGATCGACGAGTTCTTGGAGAAGGACAGTGCAGACGCGGATCAGAAGGCGTTGTTCGCGCAAAGAAAGCTAGAGTACTTGGAGGATTTCGGCACGGCCATTCAGTCAGTTCAAGCTGCTTATGACCAGTACCAGAAGTTCCAGAAGCTGAGCAAGGAGGCGGCGAAGAAGAAGGAGAGCAAGAGTGACGCAGCTTCGACGTCTTCCAGCAAGAAGGAGAAAACGCCGCAGTCCTCAAGCTCCCAGGCACAGGCGTACGGCAACTACAACTATGGAACCTCGTCCACTCCAGCTGCATATAACTACTCGGGGTCTCAACAGGGACAGTACAACTACCAACAATACAGTCAGGGTGAGTCAAACCTTTCATTCAAAGCCTTAAGTGTGCCTTTACACAACTGTGTGTTTACAGCTGGCGATCAGTACCAGTACCAAAACTGGCAATACCCACAAGGGGGCGCTTATGGCAGTTACAACCAATGGGGTGGGTACACGGGCGGCTACGGCTATTGACCGCCCCCAAACCCAGCTTTATCACGGTTTTTGCTTTGAGGATTTCACCAATCATTGTTTTTTTACTAGCGTAACCCCTTTTTGTTTATATTTTGAACTGGAACTTTGTCAAAAGTTCTTCCTTCTAGGCTAATAAATATGTGACAAGTTGATGTTTCATTTTTTATTCACCCAGATCAAAGTCTGTCCAGATAATTTTGAATTTTAGAACTAACCCAAAATGGTTTCCTAAGGAAACATGCCATCTAATTCATTAAAGAGAATTTTCCTTCTCGCAAAGTGCAAGTATCGACAGAGACAAAACTTGTCTCTGGTGTGGATGCATAATTATGCATGGGTTAAATAAGTGGCAACATTGGAGTTTGTTGAATCATGGGATCTGATCACACACTAACCTCTGTGGTCCAAAAGACGAACATAACCAGAGACAAGCCCCACCACTGAAATTTCCAACAAAACCGTGCGAAAACTATCCGTTGCTCCTGATATGCTCGTTACCTCCTTGAATATTCTGCAGCCCTGATGGGAATCGAAGGTTCGTCCCTCTACTAAAATTTCCAATAAAACTGCGAAAACTCTTCTTTGCTCCTGATATGCTCGCTACCTCCTTGAACATTCTGCC